TGTGTGTGTGTGTGTGTGTGCTTGCTCGTGTGTGTAGCCTATGTGTGTATGTGTGTGAAATCCGTAATACTTGTACATGAACTTGTCTGTTGCGCTTTACCGCGACCAGAGGAGAAAAGACCCATTTGGACGCTTTTTTTGTTGATTGTAGTGGCAGTGATGGTGGAACTGGTAGTGCAGTGGTGATGGTGGTGGTTGGGTCGTGGTAGAGTGGCTGTTGTATTTTTAAAGTGGTAGTGTTGGAGGTGGTTATATTCTATTGGGTTGTTACAGATTGTAACGAAGGTGAAAATCAGTAGAGGTAGACCCTACTACCAATCAGTCGGCCCCATAAGCTCGAACAATTCCTACGAGTAACGAAAAAAACACTGAGTTTATGTTATGCTTTTATTCCTTAGATGTATTTTTAATCTCCGCCAACTCTTTGCACTGCAGAGTGCCATTAAAAGCTAATTGCTCTGGGATACACTTTGAAATTTAAAACTACTGGGGAACAAAGCCTGAAGAAATGTGTTTTGTTGGTTAGAAATGTGAAATATAGGGAAAATATCGACTTCGAAATAGAAATGAACTGTACAGCAACAATACAGGCAGCAGAAGCATGAATACATTTGTTATGTCTATTTTATCATTCACTTTTTCCCCAAGCTACGCGCAATGTTTCAACAGGTTTGAATAATTAATAATGTCTGCTAGCTTTTGGTGCTTTTTTTTTGGCAACTTAAATATATTCAAGACGCACAGATCCTTACGATATGTAATTAATGACATCTATATTTGTCTTTGATGGTCTCCTTTTTTTGTTTAAAAATTAGTGGCCTTATTTGTGAAAAAAGGCGTCGAGGTAAAAGTAAAGTTGGGTCCCTATTGTTTGACCAGCTTGAGTTACTGCAAAACATCCAGGGTAGTGGTGGGGGTAACTGGGTGCTTGCAGTTATGTCTCTGACGCTTTATGAATCTGAAACAATTGTTTTGAACTTTGCAGTTACGAGGCGGTTAATATCCACCTGAAGAACAAACCTTCGTGGTACACAGAGAAAAACCCTCTGAGCAAAGTCCCTGTCATAGAGAAAGGCGACCAGATCATCTACGAGAGTACCGCTGTCTGTGAGTGGTTGGATGAGGTCTACCCATATAACAGGCTCACACCCACTGACCCCTACATCAGAGCCAGGGACAGGATTCTGCTTGAGTACATTGGGAAGGTAAAACCTGCTGAATGACCTAAATAACTATATTAGGGGTAGGTGTGAGGGTGGGTGCTGGGGGGAGGGGATATAAGGAGATTTAGGTAGACGTAGAGAGAAAGTCTTAGTGTGTGAGTGTGTGGTTGGGTTCGTCCGTGTGTGTTTGTGTGTGTGTGTGTGTGTGTGTGTGTGTA